CATTAAATAAAATATAAATTTTTCAAAACTGTTTTATAATGTAAAACCAAATTAGTTTTAGCATTGAGTAAAACTTCTTTACTCAATGGTTTTAGTTTAATTTGGTTTTTTAATCTTAATTTCACTCAAACATGAACAATTAAAAAAGTAAAAGTATTTTTTACAATTGCAATCTTCTTTATCTTTAAAATCTTAATTCAGACTGCCTGCTGTTTTATGAAAGTGTTGTAAATAAACTCACTTGATTATGAACAAACCGAGAAATGTCATTGAAATCCTTTTTAATTTCAAATTTAATAAGACCTGTTTTCTGAAATAGCTGGCGACTAGTATATTAGATTATGCAATGTTTCATTGTTGTAAATTGCAAATTCTGTTTTGATTTGAACGAAGAATTGAATATAAAGCAGGTTAATTAAATGCGATAGACTGTGGGAATTGACTTTATTAAAGAAGGGTTTTATAAATTAAGTCAGTTTTGTATAAAATAATTTATTCCAAACAGTGCACGCTCTCTAATCCGCTGCTTTGAACGTAGAGTTTTCTGCTGTCATTAAGAATATACAAATATAATCATGACCCAAAATTAATAAAAAAGGTTTATGAAGATGACCCAGAGTCTGACATTGTATCATTGTATGATCGAGAGTTATGCGATTTTTGAATAAAAATTATAGTTTTTTTTTGTAAAAATGTGGTTGTGTTGGTCGAAAAAATAGCGTTCTCAACCCACTAAAAAGTGTTTTCGGCGCCCAAAGGATTATTGCACTCGTCTAGGTCTCGTACACAACCTTGTCGACTTCCCACTTTTAATTGGTCGATCTTCAATCAGACCATTTGGGTGTATTTACTTTAAATAATAAAAAAATGTTTTTTGTTAATTTTAACAATCTTTAATATTAAAAAACTATATTTTCTGTTTTCATACTCACTAATTCTGAATATTATTTGTTTATTCGTAATAAAAAATATAAATTGCAACTTAATACTGCATTAATGTTTCTATCAACAAATGATTTCAATAGATCTATCTTTCAATATACTGAATAATATTTGGCTTGGTATGTACTAACAATTTTGATTAAATCACAGCAAGTTGTAAATTAAATTTTATGCAGGTATTTTTTTTTCATAAAAATTAAGGATCAATAAGTAATTTAAAATAACTGTATTCAGCGTTTGGGGGTGAAAAAACGCGTAAAGCCTGATTTATAGATTGCCTTCCTTCCTTCCTTAGTCCCATAGAAGATGAACAATACAAAAACCGTTGTGCTGTTTAAAGATTCCCGTACGGGAATCTATAAAGGACAATACGATTTTCGTATTTTTAATCTTTTACGTGGGGAAGGAATATATTTAAGTTATAAAAAAATCACCAACCTTAAAGCCCTCTGAAGGACAATATTACAATATTGCTAGTCATTTTAGTCAAGGAGCTACGGTATTTTGTTGTTGAATAGTCTGTCTCTATAATACAATATTATATGATGATTAACATCAACATTATTTTGTTTTAAAATATCTTCTAATTTTAATATTTGCTAATCCTAATTTTAATAATTCCTTAACCCTTTTGTGTCTGTTCTGACCCTGAATGTAACAAATCGATTTTTGGCGCCAAGGTTATTTTGTAGACGTCATGACGCGTCATAACGTCTAAAGGGGTCTTTGAAAAACGCATTGTCGCGTGATTGATACTAACCAACCATTTTATTCTATTTTAAGTAAACGGATATCGAACTGGTTATAAAAGAATAGTATATTATGTATCAAGTTTGATAAACGCCATTTTATACACGAATTTAATTTAGGCACGAGCGAGCTTGCGAGCGAGTGCTTAAGTTAATGAGTGTATAGAAAAGTTTATAAACGAGGTGCATACTATACTTTTTCTACGACAAATACTTATTATTATCTTAAAATGATTTAAATCAAAAATTTGTATAGAGCGCCATCTATGAAACAACAGGGGAAACTGTCAAATATCACATTTTTACATTTTATAAACACAATTACAAAGGTTATAAATCGAAATGTATATTGAAAATTTGACAGTTTTTCACAGTGAAAGTAAAGGAAATGTTTTATGAGGACTTTACAGTAGAGTCACAGTGAAAGTAAAGGAAATGTTTTATGAGGACTTTACAGTAGAGTCCGTGCCCGAATTTAAGTTATAGTTTACTGCCGGCGAAATTAAAAGGTTAGTACAATGTTCATATAAACTTTTCAAATATTGGCGTTGAGAAACTATTTAATATTTTTGTATTTTTGTATTGAGATAATAAAATAATTTTCACATTTAGTATTATTTTACAAGAAAGGCACTTTATTTTAACGATTGTATGACATTTGAGAACTGTCAACCAACTTAAAGCTAACTTCAGCCCGTGACTAAAAACCTGTTGCTAACTTCAGCCCGTGACTAAAGCGCCGTAAAGCCACAACAACTTGTCAATGTGTATTTAAAAACTCACAACAAGGTACGATGGAAACATGTACGATAAAGGGCGTTTTAAAGATGTGAGTAGAAAAAATATATTAAAGGTGCGAACCTAAAGACCTAATATTATTTTGTTGCTATATTGCAACTAAATACACAAGTTAAGAGCACTTACTTTTTTAGCAGCGCCTTTTCGGACGGATATAACTTATTTAACAAGCATTTTTTTTACCAATAACTATTATTAATTGTAATTTGCACACCAATACGGATAAGTCGCATAAATCTACTATTAAGGTGCTGTTGACATAATACGTCACGCGATTGTTGACATTTTTAGACCTGTGGAAGGGGGTCGTCACACAAAGTCACAAAACACCCCACCCGTCGCGACGTCGTCACATATTTAAATTTTTAACATTATCTCGATAAAATCCGAAAATTTTGATGAATTTTGTCGTCACGTAGTTAATGACCCCCCTCCTTATCGTCACCCTTTGTCACAAGACGTCTGACCCCCTTCTCCATAGATCGTGACGTAATATGTGAAAGACCCCTAATTATGATATAATTGGAGTAACACCCTTAATTAATATAGTGCGTAATATGTTATGTTAAATGGTGCTCATTTGCAATTCATGCTTCATAAACATTGTTGAATGAATAAAGAATATATATTTTAGTAATGTATGCGGTAACGATTGTTAAGATATGATAGATAATGAAATGTTTAAATTAGTTGACGAATTTAGAAAAATATATAGTTTTTTATATATATATATATATCCGCGTAATAAAATTTCTAGGCAAGCAATACCTTAACTTAACTTTCCTGTTATTAGGTAATTATTATTATTATTATTATTTATCGTTGGATTTTTAGTTTTTGTGTCAAACTTCCAGTGTTTACTTTGGATTTAAATTTAAAACTATTTATTGTTGTCAGATAAACATTTGATGGCCCATGAAATATTAACAATGGCATACCTACATCCACTATTCTTTTGTGAGCAAAGATCAATAAACCTGTAAATTAACTTTTTTCAATCTCACGTTTCATTTAAAGAGAAATGCAATATGCAAATAAGCACGTGACAAAATCGAGTTCACGTGCAACATAAAGATGTATTTGCATGCATGTAACTTCAATAAAGATATAAGGAAGAATTTCCACGCCGGTAAATAAACTGCTGAAATCTTTAATCTTGAACAGGTGGCAAGTACCAATAAATATTTTCTTTAAACAAAATAAAACTTGCCGGAATACCGTTAGATTACTGTTTATTTTCTATGTAAATATCGCATTAGGTATAATGTAAAGGTTTGATACTGTATTTTTATTATTTTGACATCGCTCAATTGTTTTTATTATACCCGATACAAAAGGCAAATTTACTTTTTCTGGCTAAACTCACCATTTCGTCGATTTTTTAAAAATTTAAATTCGTGTGAAAACTTGTACAGCTTGTGAATAAGCCACAAGTCCAACTTGTTCTAAAAAAAATTGAAAATATTCCTGTTATCATGTACATTACATTACAATAATACTTAATGGATTATTTTCATTGAACCTACCAGACACTTAAACTTTTATTTGATAAAATAATAGTATATTATGTATTAAGTTTGATAAACGCCATTTTATACACTAATTTAATTTAGGCACGAGCGAGCTTGCGAGCGAGTTCTTAAATTAATGAGTGTATAGAAAAGTTTATAAACGAGGTGCACACTATACTTTTTCTACGACAAATACTTATTATTATCTTAAAATAATTTAAATCAAATATTTTTATAGAGCGCCATCTATGAAACAATAGGGGAATCTGTGTGTCACCGTCAAATGTCAAATTTTTATATTTTATAAACACAGATTATAAAGGTTATATATGAATCGAAATGTATTTCTTGAAAATGGACAGTTTTTTTACAGTGAAAGTAAAGAACATGTTTTATGAGCACTTTACAGTGGAGTCGGTGCCCGAATTTAAGTTATAGTTTACTGCCGGCGAAATTAAAAGGTCAGTCCAATGTTCATATAAATTTTTCAAATATTGGCGTTGAGAAACTATTAAATACTTTTGTATTTTTGTATTGGGATAATAAAATAATTTTAACATTTAGTATTATTTTACAAGAAAGGCACTTTATTTTAACGATTGTATGACATTTGACAACTGTCAACTAACTTAAAACTAACTTCAGCCCTTGACTAAAAAACCTGTTGCTAACTTCAGCCCGTGATGTCAATGTGTATTTAAGAGGTCACTTAGTGTCATGGAAATAGTAGAATATTATAATATATTGTGATTATAGACCCAATTTAGCTTTACTTTGAACATTGTTACAGTCTGGGTTTGTTAAAATTTATGAATATATCTTTTTAATTTCATGTATTTATTTATAAATGTAAAAAAACTTGTAATGTATATTTTAATGCAAAATGCATTTATCGACTTTTGGTCATTTTTCCACAATTTCTGGACAATTTAAATTGTCGAGCGTCCCTTCGGCGCATGAACAGGCGGCGACGCAAAGCGTCGCGACGGCCCGATCAATTCGGGGTGGATTCGTCGCAATACCGCCCTTACATGCTTAGACAAAAGTGCGAACGACGTTTCAACGAAAGAATTGTAAATGTAAAAGCAAAATCAAAATTAAACAAGGTGAATAATAGGTGTGTTTTTATTGTGTATTGTGATTTATTTAGAAAGTGAATTCGGATTTCGACATGGATAATTGTTCTAATTTGTTGATGGATGAAGTGCCACCAGATCTTAGGGTAAATATTATAAGAAGAGATTAATTTACTTCAAACATAATTTCTTTGAATGGAAAATATTATACGATTCGATAATTTGTATTAACTTAGGTGACATAAAATAACTAAAAGTAATTATAATTATCTAATAAAACTGTAATATATTTTGATCTATTTATATAAAATTTTCCTCAATGAAACAAAAACCTCCTCAATATCTTTTTTGTTCTCGTCAGCAGTTAAAAGGGTATTCACTGCATAACCCCAAAGTCTTTGCCAAGAAAATATAGATTTTTCGCTGTCCTAAACCTAACTTAATGTCATAGGTCCTAAGACATAGGACATTCTTACATCCAAAATGATGGAAGTTTTACAGATTTCTTTGTAGTTCTGGTAATGCATGTGTGATAACTTTGTATAAATATATTTAAATAAATTTTTCCTAATAATTTATTATAATATTAGGTAAAATGTATTTAATAAAACATGATTTTTTGATTTGATAAAACATGTACAATGATTGTTTTTTGTTTTATATTCCCTAAACATTAAGGTTTTATTAATTAATTAATAATAATTAAAAAATTAAGGTCGTTGGGTACCATATATGGTACTATACAAGGTGGCCCAACGAAAGCGATACTGAGGGCACGTCAATTTTATATTTTGCTACAGATTTTACTTGCAAATGCTCACAACCCCTAAAATTTTGATAAGCATGATAGGGCAAGTGATACCTAATTTAAAAGGTCTTGTTCCACTGAGAATCATGAAACAGTAGTCAGCACACTTTGTTTCTTATTCAAATAAAAAAGTATAGATAATGAATTTTTGTTAGAAAAACAATGAGAATATTAGAACGATCTTTATTAATACATTAAGTGCTCAAAATGTCAGCTGCCAACTTCCATACAAAAATACAAAAAATATAAATTTTGAAATAATTGGGGAGTTATTTGATGGCATGCATCCACGATACGTTGTCGCAACTCTTGCTCAGAGCCTACATAAAAAAGTTAAGATGAGTCAAATATAATCCAGTGCATAGTGTGTAGGTGCTCCATCTTGTTGGAACATGGTCTTTTAAGCAGTCATCGTTTTTAACAATATGGAACAGTGAGGAATAAACCACATCTTCTAGTAATTTCAAATACGATACTGCTCTTAGGCTACCATAAAAAAACTGGGACTATCTCCGAAAATACCTTCTCAGACATTAAGTTTTTGAAAAGTTTGAGTGTCTGACCAGTAACGTTTATGAGATCAAAGGATTCGTTGAATGGTAGATTAAAGAATGTTATCAACCGTAGCTAATTTCCTAAAAGTTCGGAATTCGAGAAACAGGATCTTTGGACACGAACGTGTTTATGAGCTAAAAAGTTCATCATACTCATATAAGCCCTTAATATTCATATTAAACCGTGCCCCAAAGACGATACATTTCCCATTTAAATAACATTTCGGCATGGTTTACATTTATTTTTTTTCTTCTTGGACAAGTTAATATACAGCAATACAGACACATATTTTTATAGAAAATTGAACGCTGAACAAAAAAGCTCTCTTATTATTTTTTGATAAATTCACTGGTTTAAAAGTTATTTAAGGTTAAAGTTGAACTTATAGTAATTTTTAGATTTTTTTACTTTGACAGAAAAATTATCATTATTATTATAAAAAATGATTTGTTTATTTTTAAAAATATGTGATTTTTATTGTATTATTGAAAAAGTGAAAATTATTAAAAAGAGATAAGTGATATTCCGATTAATTAATTTTTTTATTACATCTGGTAATCTGGGGAATCTGGTAATAGTTTTACTAAATTTTAGTACTATTACTTTTTTACATAATGTTTTTATTTCTGTGAAATTCTAGAAAATTTTATACGATTTTATAAAATATTATGCAATGAAAAATTCATTTAACAATTATTTTTTCAAAATAATTAAATTCGTGCGCATGCGTGCACTAAAGTATGATTTAGTTCTTTGACCACAAAATAGAGGAAGACAGAAGTCGCACTTCCCAGATTTCGGGTCGCAAAGTTGACATAGCGCAGCTGTGTCGCGCACGTAGTTTGAAATAGGTCAATCACCTATAGGTGATATATCGTCTGTGGCATCTTTTATATAATAGTATATTATGTATCAAGTTTTATAAACGCCATTTTAGTTTTATTAGGCACTAGCGAAGCTTGCATGTGAGTGTTTAATAAAAACGTGTGTCAAGATAAGTTTATAAAACGAAATGTTTTTATAAAAAAAAAATAATAATTTATTATATATGGCATCAAAATTGTAAAAAATATTCTTTTTTTATAAGGCTTTATATTAAATAAAAAAACGCAAGAAATATTTTATACTGTCCGATCAGCAATCCTATTACTCACTTGTAAAAGATGACAAAGCTGTTATTTGTTGTCAACAACTATTGTTAATAATTAATACCTCCTCATTAAAACTTAAATTAAATCTAAAACAAGGAATTTAATACTTTCATCCCGAAAGACATTCAGCGGAAATGTCATCAAATTTAAAAGCATTGCCCGCTCTATACCACTTAAGTGTGTTCTTTCAGGTCAAAGACAACATTCTAACTAAGCAAAGTTGGCCATGTAATTACCTTAACTCACGTTTATTTTACCTTAATTATACGGCATTAACCACTGCGGTCGTAATTCATTTGTCAGCATTTGTGCATAAGTTCGAGTCGTTATCGTTTGAAGATAGAATTTTATTTGTAAAGAATGACCTAGGAACTGACTAATTTAAAGCGCAGCAAAGGTTAATAGATTTCCATGGTAATTGATATGATTTGTATGTTTATTGTTAAGAATCGAAAAAGCACTAATTAAAGCAACCTATAAAATTGACTTGTAATTGGGAAAATCGTTTGAAATTACTTATATTAGTTCATTTAGGTACGCTAAACCTAAAAATTTTAACCTTTCTTCAGGGTTGAGCAATTAAACATGAAGCAAAATTATATAAAAACCTTGATCAAAACAATACATAACTAAATAATAAAAATAACGTACAAACAAATTTTAATATTAATCCATGCAGGGTATACTATAGAACTATAGAACTCGCGCCCCAGAGAAAAAGGGAACGTGACGAAAGTTATGAGAAACACAAACACAAATTAAAATTATCTAATGCAAAGGATAAAGAGATAAGAATAAAAAACGATAGCTAATCCCAATACATGGCCATATAGGGAATTCTTTAAATTGCTAGGATACTTAGGATGCATTGTTGCTATTATATAATATGTAAAATATTTGGTCGACTGGAATCCACTTCATTGTGACATTGCTGTCAATTTTTGTTCCTATCATTATTTGTTTTCCTTCTTTGATTATGCTGAAATGATGAATATTTATGGGGAGTATAGGCGCAATGCTAGGGAGGCAGCACTAGTTTTTCCCAGCGCTTTTCCGATCGTTTCCTGGACTGTAAAGTTTTTCTGCGTTGTAACGAAATTGAAGGTGTTCCTTAACGTATTAGAACAGCGGAAATAAAGAAGCTATTTTCAATGCCTTTGATGCAAATAGTAGGAAGAGCATAAGGGAAGTTGCACGCGAATTTCTCGTTTACAGTTCAGCGGGTTATAAATTACGTTCATTTTACGCGAGCACCTGCATCCGGACGATAGTGCCGCTAGAGTGGAATTCTGATTTTGGATCTGGGGTACATAACTAGTGGTTTAATTTTTACTTAAACATTGTCTTCCTGAAGTATGACATTTCTTTTTGAAAGGTCGGATAAAGGATTTTTAAAAGTTTTAAGACAACAATGTTCTATCGTCTCCTAGCAATTTTTAAAGCTCCGTTTAACCTAGGCGAGAGCTCTCAGTATTGGCTGCCACTTTTTTGCTCTCGTTTGATTACACTATTATCTAGAATTTTTTTATTTTTAAATTTGGCATCTCCATTGCTATCAGCACGACTCCTTTTTTGTGGCACGAGTTCTGGGACACCCTGTATAATCTTTGTTTATTAAATAATTTTAATTTTTTAAGATTTTTTAACGATCTTGAGAACTAAATAAATAAAATATATTACAAAATTTTTATACATACTAATACACTGTTCAAAATTTCATGACCATTTTAACACCAAATTAACACCATACATGGTCTATATCGATACAAACCAAAATGGTGTTAAATATGGTTCGTTGGCCGGTGTAAATTCAAATACTAAAATGGTGTTAATTTAACTTTCACACAGTATTAAAATAAATTTTACCTGGTGTAAATTGAACTCCTTTTCAGTGTTAAATATTATGTGTTTGTGGTCAAATTAAATCATACTACACAGAAAAAAAGGAAAAAAAAAAGGAAACAGGAAGTTCCTTGACGCATTAATAGTATATTACTAGTGGTATTATTCCAGAAAATGGAAGTATTGACAGCTGTTTCCACCTATTTAAGGTCTCTTTAGTATCGAACAACTTGTAGTCTCACACCAATGCAAAGGACCACCTGAGTTTATATATTCTTCATGTAAGTCAACAGAGGCGAGATTTAAGAACATCACGTGATCCACACCGCCTTTGCCGTGATTGGTACACATTTTCAACCATAATTCATGGTGTTATATTAACACCACTTGGTGTTGGATTTTGACACCATTTTAAGATTACTTTTTACACCACAGATATTTTAAACAGTGTATTTATTAAAAAAGTACACTGTCCTGTCCTGTATAGGATTTATTTACTAGCATAGTATGCAATGTATTTTTTATTTGCCACATGTTCGAATTTCATTTGTGCCGCCCCAATTTGAATGCTCTAACTTGATTCTTACTACTTGCTGTAACGACGAAAAGTTAAAAATATATTCAATCACGTGTATACACGTGATTCTTGACGAAAAAAATCATTTTTAAACAAAATTTGTCAAAAGTAATGAGAATGTTCTCGAAAGAGGACCGATTTTATTTAATACATGTATACTGTACTATGGTAAGGGTGATAAATCCACCCGACGATTTATCGAAAAATTCAATA